CATATTCTCTATTTTTTTTTATAGATTAAATATATCTATGTTATTATTAACTTAAAATTAATTTTATTGAACTTAAATTACTTTTAATGAACTGAAAGTATTTTTACCAATATTCACTATTAATTTTTAAAATAAATTAATATATTATAAATGGATCTTATTTTAAAGAACTTTTTAAAACAAATTTTATGATGGAACACTAGGCGAAAAACATAAATAGGCACCGGTTCAAACCATGCTATGGGCACCGGTTTTGAACCGTTGGATATTTGAGGGATGCCAAAAGCTAGGTAAATTAGCACCGGTTCAAAACCGGTGGTAATATTTGTCAATACACCGGTTAACCGATGCCAATTTGTTGTTATTAGCACCGATTAACCGGTGCCCATTGTGCCTTTTAAAAAATAAAAATTAAAAATGGATTTTTTTCACTTCAGAACCAGCCACCACAACTTAACCCAAATGTTCAAACCCAACTACCTTCCCCCAACCTTACCTAGCCACCACCGTCATCCAACAACCATCACCACCACAGCTGTCATCTATCCACCACCACCTATGTCATCTAGCCACCATCGTACACCACCACCACCGTAATCCAACAAAAAAGGCAAAAACTCAGAAAATTCAAAATTAGAAAATTAAAATTAAAAATCTAGATCTTTATACAATTTACAAAATAATTTACATAATTTACTCAAAAAATTACAATCTAAAATTACAAGTATAACATAAAAAACAACCTAAAATAGTTAAACAAACAAAAACCTAGATCTAAATTATAAACTAAATCAAAATCAAAAATTCAAAAAATAAAACCTTTTTCTTTAAACTCCAAAGAATCCCGTTCACTACTTGCTTGAACTCGAACAAGATTCGAACAAAGTCATCTTGCTTGAACTCCAAAGAATCCCGTTCACCACTTGCTATAACTCGAACAAGTTCGAATGAAATTCGAACGAAAATTGAAGACCTCACACTTTCTATAACGTCTGACCGTACTACGGCTCGGTGCTCGGCTGCTCGGAAAGAGATGGGAACGACAGAGGAAGGAGAGATGAGAGTAGAACGAGATAGGAACGAAAGAGGAAGGAGAGATGAGAGCAGAACAAGATGGGAACGAAAGAGGAAGGAGAGATGAGAGCAAAACGAGAGATGAGAGAGAAGGAGAGATGAGAGCAGAACCATAGATGAGAGAGAAGGTGAGCAGAACCAGAGAGGGAGAGAAGAAAATAAAGAGGCGGATGAGAGAGAGAGAGGGGGGGTAAAGGGTTTATAAAATTGCAAGGGGCACCGGTTAACCGGTGCCAATTCCTTTTTTTTTTTCATTTTCTAAAACAAAACGCACCGGTTATTATATTTTTGCCCACCGGTTTTCAAGAACCGGTGCTATATTATCGATGCTAATTTGTGTTTTTCTACTAGTGGAAATAGAACCGAGTTATAGGATATTTATTAAAAGTTATGATTAATTTTGTATATATTAAATATTAGAAGTATATCGATAATGAAACTCTATACAACAATTTTATCTTAAAAAATCTATCCAAAATTCGCTTACTTAGCATCATATGTGTCACAATAATACCTTATTTTCGTCAACGTGGCTTGACACTTGGCAAATAATTGGAATGCCAAGTGTCGTTGTCTCATGGCCTAGCTGCGAGACTGACTTTATTTATTAGTGACTAGTTTTGTGCCCGGGCGATGCCCACATTGATGATAAAATTTTAGGATAAACTTTTTACTTCAATGTGAAATATGATCATATAATCCCTTTTGATAATACAGGATATTTAGACTTACAATATCATATAATAGTGTAATTTTTGTAGTTTTGTTTGTAAGTAGATATCTATGTTGATGCCCAGATTGTTAATAAAATTTTAGGATAAACTTTTTGGCTTGAATGTTCAATAATACGATCATGTAATCTCTTTTGATAATACAGGATATTTAGACATACATATCATACTGCTTATTTATAGAATAATGTACTTTTTGGAGTATTGTTTGTAAATAGATATCTATGTTATTATGGACTTGAAATTATTGTTATTGAACTTAAATTATTTTTACTGAACTAAAAGTATTTTTATCAAACCAAAATTGTGTTTACTGATTAGGACTTATTTTACTGATTCTCTAATATTTTTTTTAAATAAATTAAATAACAATGCATTTTGTATGCGGCTAACCATACCATCTGGCTGGACAAAGTAACCCCTATAAAACTGATCGAGGAACCCCAACCCTGTAATACTAACTGAGTAACCTCTAACACTGACTAAGTAACCCTTATTTATAACATGATTGAGTAATTACTATAACACTGACCAAGTAACCCATATAGCACTAACGAAGTAACTCTGATATCATAATAGTTGGTGACACGGTTTTGCCAGCTACGTATAAAAGTTTGTGATTGAATATATTATAAATGGATCTTATTTTAAAGAACTTTTTAAAACGAATTTTATGATGGAAATAGAATTGCGTTATAGGATATTTATTAAAAGTTATGATTAATTTTGTATATATGAAATATTAGAATTTTATCGATAATAAAACACTATGTAACAATTTAATCTTATAAAATCTATCAAAAAAGCTTACTTAGCATCATATGTGTCACAATAATACCTATTTATCTCTTACATGGCGCGACACTTGGCAAAAAACTGGAATGCCAAGTGTCGCTGTATCGTGGTATGGCTGCGAGACCGGCTTTATATATTAGTGATATGATATGATATTAGATTTCAATGTGTCTCCACGGTGTCCTATAGGACTCTTGTCAGCGGAAAAGTTTCAGATACCTTCAAGCCAAGTTGTGGTTTACAACAGGGGGACCCTCTTTCCCCGTATCTGTTTTTATTCTGTATGGATATTCTGTCAAGAATGCTAACTATGGCGGAAAACCTTAGGCAAATCAAAGGTATTAAGGTTACCAAGAGGTCGCCTTTAATCTTACATTTGTTTTTTGCTGATGATGCTATGATTTTTTTTACAGGTTTCAAAGGAGTCTTGCAAGAACCTGGTGGGTATCCTTGAAAGATTTGGGGATATTTCGGGTCAAAGATTAAATCTTGATAAATCTTTTGTCAATTTTAATCCTTTGGTGGATAGACAAGATGCGGAGGTTTTTAAGGCCATTTTAAAGATTGGTCAAGTCCCAACCTTGTGAATGCATCAAGGGGCCCCTAAGTACCTGGTTGATAAAGTAGTCAAGAAAGTTACTAATTGGGGATATTTGTGGTTATCACAATCAGCAAAACTTGTCCTCATTAACTCAATGCTAATTAGTATCTCTTCACATGTTATGAAATGTTTCAAGATGCCTTTCTCCATTGTTAACAAGATTGACTCTATTATTGCTCGTTTCTTTTGGGCAAGAAATGGGGAGAAAGGTATGCATTGGGTCAATAAGGATACCCTGCATCTCTCGAAAAGAATGGGTGGGCTTGGAATTAGGTCCACGGCCAATCTTAATGAAGCTTTGTTGTTCAAACAGGTGTGTCGTGTGCATTGTAATCCCCAAATATTATTGGCTCGCTCTTACTCCCCCACTCACTCATGCACTTTGTGTGTTGGGAGTGTCTCTTCTACCCTTTGGGGCAATGCTTCTTGGGGGAGACGGGGATTTCATAACGTGGCTAATAAGTTTGTTTCAAGTCTTGCTTGGAAGATTGGAAATGAAGAAAAGGTAAAGTATGCGAGTATGAAGTGGGTCAATGGGAAAGTGCCCATTCTTAATTCTAGCAACACTTTGAGGGGGATAGGGATAGGGAAGGTCAATGATCTATTGCTACACTCTGCAGGGATGGCTTGGAATGCAGCTTTGGTAAGGGAGAGATTTGAGTGGGATTCAGCGTAACAAATTCTTTCCATGGAACTTCCTTCAACGGAGGTCTTTTTGTATTGGTATCATCATAGGTCCGGAGTTTATACAGTGAAAATTGGTTATGCCTTCTTATGCCAAGAAGGTAGGGGGAACCACCTTAGTACAAGGACGGATGAGTTTTTTAAACTCATTTGGAAGCTTAAGATTCCTCCGAAATGGAGTCTTTTTTATGGAAGATTATTTTGAATGGTTTGGCGGTAAAGGCAAATCTACAACATAGAGGAGTGCCGGTAGACGCTAACTGTGATCTTTGTGGGGATTCTGAAGAGGATTCTCAACATCTTTTTCGTTTTTGCTTGTTGGCTAGGTATGCGTGGCTTAATTGTTCCCTGCATATTAGCTCAGAAATTGATAGATCTACTCCTTTGGGACAATGGATCCAAAGCTATATCCAGCTTTACTATAGCAAGGATGGTACTCATGGTGAGCGAATGCTTACTTTTATGAGTGTGTTATGGAGCTTGTGGGTAGCTAGAAATGGTAGGGTCTTCAGGAATGAAACGGACCATATGGATGCTCTTAAAAGACACTTAGAAAACACAGCACAGGATCTAAGTGTTTTCCAAAAACCTGATCTATGATGGGTGGGTGCGATAAGTGAAGGGCCTCCACCTTGTTTTCTTAGAGCTACTTTGGGGGTTAATTCCACCCAAAATAATAGGGATCTCGGACTTGAGCAAGAGATTATAATATTGTGCGATGGTTCGTGGCATAAACAGATAGGGAACGATGGGTTTGGGTGGGCTTTCTCGATTAAAAGAGAGGTTTTTGAAGATGCAGGGGGTGGTTTTTGCAGGACAAGCTCGGCATTACACACGGAACTACTAGCTTGCCTAGGGTGTATTAGGTGGGCGAAGGACAAAGGCTTTCGTCGCATATTAGTTTATAAAGATTCAACAGAAATGGTTGGCATCCTAAGGAACTCTAAACGGGGACAAATGGCGAACTACTGGATTGTTCAAGAAATCTATAGGGTAGGAGGTTCTCTAGACAACTGTGTTGTGTGGAAGGTCTGCAGGGATCAAGTTCGGAGAGCACATGATAAAAAAAAAAAAATAAATAAATAAATAAATAAATAAAAAAGGAAGGAAAAAGAAAAAGGCAAAGAAATTCCTCATATTTTTCATTGCATAGATTTACAGCCATACAAACACAGATTGTGGAAACAATTTCTCAATAATTAATTGTTTACATCATTATATACATACGTACATGCATACATACATCGGCAAACAATTGATCATGTGAACTCTTACGTTTCATATGGTGTAAAGTTCCATCAGAGTGCCACAGGAGTTTACAACCGCCTGAAAACCAAAAAGAAGTATGTAAATACAGCTATCTCATCTAAGGCAATAAAACTGCAAGTCTGCAACTTTACTAGCTATTTTTTTTTTTTTTTTTTTTTTTGAAAGAACTTTACTAGCTACTTAATCAAGTTATTCATAATGTTTCAAAGGTCAGTAATGTTCAAAGACACCCTATAAGTAAGGCTGAAAAATAGCCATGGCGAATAATGTACTGATGAATGACGATCTACATAAACTTCTCTCAATATGTTCATGCACGTATAGTTGGCAATAATGCAAACCATAATGAAGCACTTAAACATTCAGATATATAACTCAACGTTAGCTGCCTACAGTGATCATCATAAAATCACCAAAGAGGAATTGGAGTGAAATACATTCGAGTACAGGCTAATATTCTTAATAATAGTAAACGTGATTAATAGTAGTTAATCAACTGGCAATTTACTGTTCAGGAAAGGGGGAAGTTGATGGTAGAACAATGGAAAATTCGACTTAATAACTAGATATAAGGTGAAAGGCTCACCATTTGGAAGTAAAAATCCCAAGCATGGAAAAATGCTGAGCTTGTAGTATGGCATTTTGCCATCACTCATTTGAGTTATCATTTCTGGTGCCCCTACCTGAATGACTGGATTGGGAGACATGATCAGATCCTTTATTCACTCTGCTATCAAGTCTTTCCATTAAGCGAGAAAGACCAGCAATCCCAGAATTCACCTCCCTCCGAACCTCAGAACCAAGTTCAGCCACGGAATTTCTCCGAGCAATTAGCCTCTCCTTCTTCAAGCCTCTAGTATTCCTTGAAATAGATTCCTTGGATCTTTATAATAACAAAGAGTTAGCTAAAAGAAGCTGAAACAAAATCTCAGTAGCCCTATTCAGTTCTTAAAGAACTGCAAAACATGTGGCTTAGTGTGAGATTGTACCTCATTGACCAGGAATTAAAGCGAGTTCTTAAAGATTCTGACAATGACTGCAGATCTGATGGTTCTTCTGTGTACTGACTTCCCAAGGAAGGTTGACTAGCAAAGCTTCTAGACAAGAACCAAATATTACAGAAATCACACACAGTAGCTCAGCCAATACAAGTAAAATATGTCTATATATAGTCAGAAAATCCTTATACAGTAAGAAAATCTCCTTCAGAAAGAAAAAAAGAGCTCGAATGTTCTGTAAGATTCTGAAAAAACAAACTCATGTTAGTGATGAAGAAAAAAAACTCTAAAGTATAAGAAAGGCACACATTGTTTTTGGGATTTTTTTTTTTTTCCTTTTAATCTCTATATGTTCACATCTTTCATTGCAATTATATACAATTCTCACCAATAATTTATTCAAATAAGTTTGGAAGTTTCTTGCATCTAGCTAGTTTAATGGTCTAGTTTGTTTCCTACTGTTGTTTCAAGGATGACATCTAAGGAACAAAGATCAGTTAAAGGGCCAAAAGGTACTTGGATACATACTGAGTTTCTGATAGTACTCTTTGTCGATTTGCTGGTTCAACATTAGAGCGAATCTTATAAGAAAAATCCTCGTCGGACAGTGATGTAGAGAGTGGAACTGGCACTGAAGCATCTGGACTACTTCGCCTCAGTACTGACGCACTTCCAAGAGACACTGAAGTCACGTGACCTCCACCACCAACAAGATTTATAGCAGTCAAAACAGAAGCATCATGAGGACCATTGGGCGTTGAGAAAACAAAGAATGGTTGGTGTCGCTGTGATGATGACCTGTTCCTCTGGCCTTCCCTCCGGAAAACATATTGTCCACTTCTCATGGCAGCTGCAGCAGCCAAGTGCTGATATATATGCTCTTCAAGATCAACTTCACCAGCATCGGTAGGTGACTGCAGTGTTCAGGAATATTGCCGTGATGTAAGACACAATGACATCAAGTGCATTTTTATGAGAAAAGATGAAATGAAGAAAGAAACATGGGAAGGCTGATAGAAAACAAACATGCAGTTCAAGATTCTCTAGGCTGGGATGATAGACTTCTGTCTGAGTTCGCGATCTATTAGCTCTAAGACTCCTCTCTTGCTCCATGGATTCCAGCAACTGTTGACTGTGACAAGATGCAGAAATGGTGTCCATTAATAAATCAAAGTTCAAATAAATGAATGCACAAATGAAAATTGAATTTCCAAAAATCCAGAGCTGGAAACCTTGCTCTATCTTTCAGGCTGATAGGTTGCCAGCACATTGGGCAATTTGAGCTTCTATGGCACTTTTAGAACACAAAATTATGAAGGGATGTCAGCAACAAAAAGGTAAATTCTTGATCAATATAAGAGAGTAGTATTATAAGTTATACATTTAAGGCTTTAAATTTGTTATATTATTTTAAATACTAAAACTACAATAGTACATACACAAGGAAACCAAAAAAAAAAAAAAAAAAAGATCCAAACTAGATTGGACATCATTATAAGAATCTACAATTGTAATTATTAATGCGTTTATTCTTAAGAAGACAACATTTATAAGAAAACGGCTGCATAAGTAAACCTTTGATTTAATAGTTCTTCATCTTATGGAGCTTCCCACAAATATGTTAAACATTATGCTAATCTTTAAAGACATTTATCATATAGATTTTAAAATAGATACAAATAAGAAATGAAAGGTGACCAATCTGACCATGATAAAGGGGAGAATGGTTATAAATTGTTGCCACATCCACTGAATTACAAAACGATAGAAAACCATGTGTTTAGATATGACCCACATGTGACTGTGAGTTCCAAATTAAAGAGTAAGAGAGAGGATAATTAACTTATAAGCCTAGTGAGTCACTCCACCTATTACCAATTGGCTTTAGGATGGAACCCTTTGTATGCGATAAGTTCCCTTTCTACAACAAATCCTTAAGGAAAACTAGTGTCTTTAATTACGCCTTGAAATCATTGAAGATTGACTAAGCACAAACTTCAAATGCACATATCTCTCTATTAGAAATATTTTATGCAGTGATTAATGTAGTAGATGAAATCTCGTCACAATAACTTTCCAACGGCTGGTCATAAGCCCATTTTAGTAAGAAATGAGAGAGTTATGGTTGTTTACAAAAAATTGTCTAAAGCTGTAACTTTCTGCCCAACTGTTCAGAAAGATGTATGGAAGTTTGGCCAAACTTTTTCCCGTTTCCAATTTTTGCATTAATTCCCAATTTTGTTTCAGGGTTTGCTCACATGACAGCTACAAGGGTTATTCCTTGAAGAATAATTTAGAATTTCCTTGTCATCCACTCACCTGTTCCTTTGTTTTATTTTTATCCAAATACAACAAAGTGGCTCTCCCCAAAGTTGAAAGTTGGTATTCACATAGAGATACTAGTATACAAAAATATGTACTTGGTTAAAATATAAAAGTGAAAATGTCTAGTTTGATACCATTCAAGGATGCAATGAAGGTGAAACTCATGCTTGCATCCAGTTACCTGAAAACATTGAAAAAAATGGGTGATAAGAAAGAAGAATTTGTAATCATATGTTCTAAAAAGTTGTTCTAAATTATGATGACATGTTCTAAATTTGTGATCATATGTTCTAAATTTTTACTCACATGTTCTAAATTTTAGATCAGTTCTCATATAAGTATGGGTTCTCACATATGAACCTATTCTCACCGGATCCCTTAAGCATTTTCATTATTTAATACCTACCAATGACAGATAAGAATCTCCATTCCAGAAAGAAAAAAGGGGGAAAAAACACTCCCAAATCAAACTACAAAGAGAATCACTGGGTGGTCCATGCAAGTAGATTGAGTCAAAGAACAGTAAAGATAAAGTCTTTTCTACAATGTCAAGTTTAAAACTTTGAATCACTTTTTTGAGGGTGTTGACTGTATTTCATTCCATCAAGAATGAACGGTAACATCAGGATATTAAATAGGAAATGAGGGATTTTGCAATGTCCAACTCAAAGCATAATCATCCACCACCCCCCTCCCTTCCCCCAAAGCACATATAAGGAAGTGTGTGTATCCCTCTCCCTCAATCTATTTGTCTGACACTGACTATGAGAGAAGGGTGTAATCACATACAAGAATTTCTTAAAATAGGTGAACATATTGCTCTATCTTTCTGTTCATGAATAATATAAACACAACGGAAGACCAATTTTTTATCACTGGTACATTGAGCTATTGGAATATATGTTGCCTTCAACTCCCCATGCAGAGAGGAAGTGAGAAACCATAACTATTTGCACACGTGAGGAGCTTACAAAACAGATCAGTTTTTAATTTGGTTCTTGCATAAGCAACCTAATGGTCTTCCATTACATACAAACTTCAAAGCATACCTCATTTTCACATCTATTTTTTAGAATTCGCCTCTAAAATCATATATTTACCACAGCATTACATAGACATACACAATTAACACAAGCAAAAAGACGGGCATTCTTAGAGGGATTTTGCAGTTACTAAGGCTCCAATCCTGTTCTTTAGAGACCTATATTTGATTCTCTCAAGGCTGATGTCAGAGATTCAGTATGACAGTGATATTCCAAATTCATCCCCAAATGATCATATCAATGTAACAGAACTTAACTTAAGTTCACAGACTTCAAACCTTTTTTTACTCTTCTTCTTTCCACTTGGAACTTGGTGGATAGACAATCTTACAGCCAAAAAGATGTGGAATAGGATTGGTCTTTTTCCTCAGCATTTGTTCACATAAAGGAGTAGATGAGTTTGGACTCTCAGATTTACAGCAAAATATCTTTAGGTGTATGTAATGAACTGATTTTCTGGTTGTATTATAAAATTACTAAGGATTAATAAAGGTGAAAGCTTTATATTTTGACTGATAATGGAAAAAGGATTACAAAGGATAGGTTAATAGCTTAAGGCTATTAATCTCCAATAGTGAGTTTAGCTCACAACTCTCCAACAATGGATTTAGGCCATAACTCTCTCAAGTGTTCACACCAAATTTCTGCCTATCATTTTCTTTCCCCTCCCTCTCTATTAATACTAAGGACTATTAACCTAGTAAACTAATATTACTAGAATACCCATACAACCCCTCCTTAGGTTAGTCTATTACAGTGTATTGATAAATTTCAAATCCACTAAACAATTGGAATGTAAAAAAACAATTATCTGATAGTGCAATAAAAAATCATACACAAAATTAGAATACATATTTGACCATAATTGAGTAATACAGTTGGGTCACCTGACACTCGGTTTCAGCTCTATGGAAAAACCTACATTTTTAGCTGTAAAGTTATTGGAGTGCTGAAAGCCCCATTCTCATGAAATAAGCATTGAGCAAGGTCAAGATGCAACCCAACAGAAATTTGCAAAGTAAATCTTTTCTAAGAAGCTCTTAAAGAAAGAGTGGGGAAGCCTGTAGTATTTTTAAGCTAGAAGAGCAATAAGCAATTTAAAACAAGGATGAAGGTGATAGGTGACAGCTGCAGAAGTAAAAAAAAAAAAAGGACTACCCCAACCAAGTGATCAAATGTATCCTTTAACATTTATAAATAATATCCTATTAATTTAACCCCCTAATTTTTGTGCATAATCTTTATTGTATTTACGAACCTTTCACCCTTCCTAGCTAAAAAACTTAACTGCTTCATAAATCTTACAAAACAAGTATCCACTTGTACTGGTCTCTAAAAATTTTCTTAAATTAACATTCCTAGTTCAAACTTCCTCGGATACTTCTTCTCTACTTCAAATTGATCCTTCCAAAATAAATTGCAAAGATTTTTTGGCTCACAGAGATATATAGGCCATGGAGTTTCAGTAAAACAATCTCCTTTCAAGGCTTACTTACTTGGTACCATGAAAGATGATAATTGAAAAAGCCCCTGGTTTATATGTATCAAGGACAGGCAGAGCCAAAAGTTAGTCATCATTGTCAAATTTCGTGTGCTTTGGTTTGCTAAACAGACACAAGTTTATGTTAGGACGGGAACCAAAGAATTGTCCAAACTGTATAAGGCTATTCTACTATTTTAGCATAAAACCAAATCCCCTCAAAAAATTTCATCCCAATCAATGTCAAGATCTAACATTGAAGCTCAGATATCCATAGAAATAAATATCAACTCAATTAAAATATGATCTCACCGAGGGTAAGGGATAGCTCAGGTGGTTAGAGCTTCCCTCCGATCCCCCAAAGATCGATTCTCATCACTCTAATCGATACCATGCAAAGACACATAGCAAATAAAATAATTGCACAACAATACCGTTGAAGGATCACTATAACAGAAATCTTCAAGGCATATGCAGCAGGTATCATCACATGCTTCTTGCACCTCGCCTTCTACAAAGGTTCCAGTAGCCGTTGAATGATTGTTACTCTCCCTAGCAATTTCCATTTCTGAAAGCTCCTACAATAAGTCAAACAAAAAGCACATATAAGAATGGGAAGTAAATCTACAAAGTGTTACTGAAATGTTGTTAGTAGGTACTATAACCAACTCCCTTAAAAGTGGTTGGCATGGAAGCCAGTGGAAACAATGTGATTGACTTGGGACTTTAGAAACCCATGATGCTAAAAGAGATATATGGGCACACAATGAGCATGTTCCCTATTAAGTGAGGGGGAGTATTTAACACCTTAAGTGTTTCTCATCACAAACAGTCTTGTGAGCAGGCTGAGCACCTCATAAATTCTTCATGCTTTCTACCAAAATAATTAATCATAATTTCTGCCTAAGTGGACTACTTTTAGGGCCAAGCTGGAGACTTCGTAGTACCCTCTTAGAGGATTATGTTAAACTGCAGCCACATTTTTCAATAATACAAAATTACCTATGCCAATGAACTCAATAAACAGAAACTGCCAAATTGTAATATACCTATTCCTAAGAAAGCAATAAACAGAAACTGCCATATTGTAATATACCTATTCCTAAGAAAGTGTACGTGTCAAGTGGAACCCCCCTCCCCAATTTACAAGAATCATGTCAATTCTATTACTTAGGAACATTTACTACATTTGACAACAAAAGGTTCTTATAGTAAGGTTCGGGCTTGAGACCAACAAGAGGTATACTTTATATTTCATTATCTATCCAAACCACTTCTATGCTCTTTACTCCAAGTAAATATAAATAAGTTGGACCATGCGAGTATTTATTTTTTACTAATTTTATTCAATTCTTTTTATGTTACTCCATATGTGCTAATTTTCACTAGTTTCAAACAATAACTCAAAAAAACTAGTATAACATATGGAGTACAAGCCGATTATATTCTCCTTATGTCATTATCTCCCTACAACTAAGTCAAATCATGATATTCAAAGTTAAAACACAAGGCAAAACCAAGGCATGGCTACCCCATTCTAGTTGTGTATTTGGCAAGCCATTTTCAGAGCTCCTAACAGGCACAACAGCCTCGACTGCCATTTAAGACAAAGTTGTGGCTAATGGAATATATATACTAGCCTTGGCACCAATTTAACTTCATGTCTTTAACAATATGTTTCGAAACTTCAGGTTTTTGAATATGTAGTTTTGCTGACTTTTAGGTGTGAAATCATATCCAGGCAGTCTATCATCCACAAATTCACATTTCTCACTTTCGATCTCCCATATTCCAATGAATCCAAAAGAACATTTCTTTGAATAATATACTCCAAAATTAGATTTGTTTTTTCTATACATGCATAACAATCAATTAAATTTTTATCTGTATACTCATTCTGTTTCTCACTATACACACTTTTTTTTTTCAATCGATTATCTTGCTATGCTCTTTTTCCTTTTCGGACGGTTCCTTATGACTATTTATGTTAGCCGACCCCAAATAATTTTGAGACTAAGGCTTTGTTATTATTGTATGCATAAAAATCAATTTCAACAAAATTCAAGATGAAAGTATATGCCACAAATTCATTAAAGGAGCTGCAAATCACACCCCCAATCACCCACAAAAGGGTTTTTATTTTCCTAAATTTTATACACAAGAACATATTCTGAATTTTCTGATAAATAACAAAACCCAATTACCAAATACATAATGTTCAAAGTCACCCATGAAATTTCTTAAGTGGAAAATGAATTATAACGAAAAATTCCCAACTTCAGCAAACAATACATTAATCAAATTCAATTATGCAGAATGTGGTGGAGAAATTAATCAGGCCAAAATTTTCAACATTAACCATGCAATAGCCTTAAAAAGCAATGAAATTTGAGAAAAATGATGAACCTCAACTGGGGAATTCAGAAATGGCCGGGCAAAATTTGCCCATGAAAGGGAGAGGTGAAGGCAGGAGCTGCAAAATTCCCAGACAATACAATCTTTGGCGGTACATTGGGAATTTTTCGAAAGTTTAGTTTATAAAAAGCTGGAACCTTAATTTTAGGAAGTAACAGGGAATTTTGGGATTTGCCATTCCATGAGAG